TTTTTATCTTCAATGTCATGTTGTTGTACTACTGCTTCTTGTCTCATCTAACAGCTCTCTGAAACTCTTGGTTAAATTCCTTCCTGAGATGTTTGTCTTTCTTGGCTTTGGCTTCTCTTCTCTTCTTGGCAATTTCCAGAGTTTGTTCTGACATCCAGTATGCTTTCTTCTGTTTCTTCATCTTTGGCAATCTCTTATCACATTCATCCTTAATGACTTCTTTAAGTTCATTCCACAATATCTCTGGTTCTCTATCAGTAAGATTCAGGACTTCAAAGTGATTCCTGATATTCTCCTTGAAAATGGTAGGTATATGTTCAAGATCATATTGTGGAAACTGATTGGCTTTCTTCTTCTTCTTTAACTTAATTTGAAGCTTGTTCCACAGTCAGCCCCTAGCCATGTCTTTGATGGTATAATTGAACTCCTCCACCTCCTTTTAGCAATAATATAGTCAATTTGATTTCTATGTACTGTCTCTGGAAATGTCCATGTATAGAGGCATCATTTTGGTTGTTTGAAGACTATGCTAGCTATGAAGAAATCATGCCTGTGATGCTCTATGGAAGTGAAAGTTGGACTTTGAAGAAGCAAGATAGAAAAAGTATTGACACTTTTGAAATTTGGTATTGGAGAAGACTCCTGAGAATATCAGGGACAGCCAAGAAAGCAAACAAATGGATTGCTGAACAAATCAACCCAGAATTCTCATTCAAGACACAAATGACCAGACTCAAATTATCCTACTCTGGACATATTATGAGTTGACACCAAATGATGACATAATCAAGATCTGAGTCTTAGTAGAAACTATTAAACTTTTTGGCAAAGAGTCTATGCAAGCAAATCTTTCAAAATCTTAAAATCTAAAGCAGATAATTAATCTTAATCCTAAAATCCTTACTGCATGTCCAACAGTAGCTAACAACTCTGGGTATCTGGAGGTTGAGTAATGGCAACTGGACTTCTCTTTTGGTTTGATAGTTTCGCTGCTTCTCCAAGCAGCTTCTTCAGTCTAAAAAGTTGGTTAAGGGGGACCCCATAAATGTCTTCCAGGGTGGCTGCATTTCTCACTAACATGATGGGCTCGTTGAAGGGACAGTAGGAGAGTGATTAGCATAGTCTCTGGGATGTGGATGTCTTGCTCCTAATCCTTCACTCATCCCCAAGTGGGTCGTTAAGTGCTGCCTCCCTGGTGAACTTGTGAAGTGGTCTTAATCTTCCTGGGGATTGATGAAAGAGTAGCATGAAAAATGGGAGACAAGTTGTGTCTGAGGCCTCCACCTCTATTGAGGGAAGGATTTTCCACTTTGCAATAAATGGACATTACACTACAGGGCAGAAACCATCCCCACCTCCATAGATGCCA